TTTGAACGTTGCTCATCGCTACGCGATGTCCTCTCTGCTAGAGGAGCGGTTGCATAAAATTACACTTCACGAAATATTTATGAGGGATCACGTGACCAGCCGATCCTAGGGTCTTTTTCCGCTCCCCTGAATTTCTAAGGGAAAGACCGTGGGGACGAAGTTCTTTTTTTTTTTTTACCCTGTTTAGCCCGATCGTTATGTGTTCTTCAGTACCCCACGCGTTCCACCTGCCCCCATTCATTTAAAAAGCAATAAAAACTAATATGATAATTCAAAGCATTCAAAGTTGATTTCTTTAGTATTATTCACATGTAGATTATGACGTCGTATCATGCCTAAATGATTTTAAAATTCAAAATGTCCGCCATCTTAGATTTATCATCTTGGATTTTAAAAAAGAATCGGAACTATCAGATCAGCTCCAAATTGATTTGTAAAAGCTCAGAGTAAATATAACAATTCAAGAAATTTAAAGTAAAATCTTTATAAAATCCAAATATGACAGGTATTTGAACTGTTAGAACGACCTCCAAATTTCAGTGCAACACTGCTTGAAATGTTCATGTTACCTAAACATTACACGGTCAGTCTAATCCATTCCCGAGGTTGGCCACCAAGTAGATCTTCCGCTGTATATTATTACTTAGCTATGTAACAAAATACTCTTAAAGGCGTGTTCCCGGTCAGTTTTGTATCTTTCTATCTGTTTCAAAATTAAAGACAAGAACACATTCAAAAACAATGAGGTTATTATTGGATGTATCTCCACTACGGCTTTGCTAAATATTTTCAGGGTATGAATAAGGGTGCTGCAATCTCAGTTGTCAGTTTTACAGCTTATGTATTTTCGGCGATTTCACAGCACGTCAAAATCTTAGCCCATTTCTCGTTTGTACAAGGTGGGTGTTCGAGCGAGTAAGTTTCCTACTCAAACAATTAAAAATTGTCTTTGAAAAACTCCTGTTCACTTCAGTTGGTAGACCAGTGACAACCCTTAACTTATAATTGCTAAGATAATAAGA